CAATATCGGCATTTCGCATTTTTGGAGCCACTGTTAAAAGACATCGCGCTGCCTACACGAATCAGCAGTGAGTTGGTATGGAATCCCGAACCGATGCCGCAGCCACCTCTCCCGATGATGATATCCAGTAAGTTACTGACTTCTGTATCTGCATGAAAGCAAAATTTTTTGAACTTGTCTTATTCCCCTTAGTCCGTTTCAAGCTGATCCGATTCCATTTGAATTCATTTTGATGTTTGATTGACGAAACGAAATTGTATTGTGTCAGTTCTTGGCCTGATCCTCGCTGATGATCAGCAACTTCAAATTGGTTGTTGAGCAAAATAATGAAAGTCAATTTTAATTCTTTAAATTAACAAATCTTTTTTTCCTTTTGAACTCAATTTTAACTCTTTGATTAGTCAAACTCATTTCATTAAGCATATAATTTAAAAAGGATCCTAATGATTGTACACCAATCAAAAATGAGGAGAATTTCTCAATTGTTTTTCAGCCCCAACAATGGATGGATATTACGCACCGGCCCCGGCTGCCTTAATGAATCAACTCTCGCCCCAGATGCCTGTTCAATCGTACATCCATCAGGCGATGTCGTCCTCACCCATCATGCAACCCTTATTGCAGCAGCCCTCAGCGTTGCCCTCGTGTGCACAACCACTGCTAGCAAATACCGCGCAACAGCACCAGCAACAACAGCAGCAGTCTCCCCTCCAATCGCCATTGTCGTCGATTCCTTCGAATAATTTTTTGCCGTTGACGGCCACAAAACGACGCCAAAATAATGGAACGATGTCAGCAGCATCAACCTCTTCCACCGTTTCGGATACACCACCGGATGGTAAACCAAAACGGGGAAGACCTCGAAAAGTGAAGAAGGAAGAAAAGTTGGTTTCTTTTGATTCTTCTTTGATTCTATCTGCATTTTTCTTTAAGTTTCATTTCTTTCCTCGAGTAAAATTGGTTGATTTTTGTGCTGCGTGTTTTTTGGTTGGTTGCATTACTTAACGTTTTCGTGAAGCAAAAACGTTGAATGTTTTTGTTGACGTTCAAAGATTTTT